CAACCCACCGACCCACCAACCGACCCACCAACCAACTGACCAACCAATCGACCAACCAAACAACCAAACAATCAAGCAAACACGCAAGCAAGCAAGCTAAACAAGCAAAACAAGCAACAAACAAACAAACAAACATCATTCAGACTCAAGGAACCAGTCCATTTTCAGCAGCACCCCAAACTGGCAGCAAAATCTAACAACAGCTGTGCTGCTGGACTGAGGGCACAGCTTCCTCATGCCTAGTGCATAACCCAAGCTATTGCTGGTTTGAGCTCCTTTCACCCCCCTGACTTCAAAAATAATCAACAGCTTACCCATATTCATGGTCAGGCTTTGCCACCTGCTCATCAATTTTTCAGCGTTCTCTTTTCTTTACAGAACTAACCCTAGATTCTGATCTGTGAAACCCTTAACTTGAAATAACGCTTTACAACTACCTTCTTAACCCGAAAAAAGCGTATGTACCTTGTATACGAATACAACGTACGGGGTACGTTGTATTCGTACACTTCCGGAACTATTATGTTCTTTTTTGCAGCTTGTCTAGTTACATTGAATATCTTGAGATTCTATTTGTCGTAAAAAAAGGTGTAAACGAATGAAAGCTAATAGAGAAAGATTGGCACACTGGCTTCTTCAACGGATTACTGCTGCTTTTTTAATTCCAACTATACTTTTAGCAAGCGTATGTTATAGAACGAGTTTTAGGGTACAACTTTTCAGAAGCCTGTAGTACCGTTATTGTTTTTATTTTTATCTCAAATTTGGTTGGGAATTTCGCCAAGACCCTCAGGCAAAAGTTGTTCGCATTGCAATGCTGTACAACATACTTTTTTTTTCGGATTTTTTACTGAAGTCTTTTTTTAATCGAAATTCTGAAAAAAAACAGTAAGAAAAATTTTCATCCTCGTTTTTATTTTTTTCTCGAATTTTCTCGTGAATTTCGATAAGACCCTCAGGCAAACGTTGTTTGTATTGCATTGTTGTATAACATTTTATTTTTTTCGTATTTTTTTGATTATTTTTGAAAAATAAAAGTTCCAAAAATTCGAATACAACATACGTACGTTGTATTTGAATTTTGAATACGACGTACGTACGTTCTATTCGGGTAAAAACAAGCGATTTCTGAAAACCCGATTTCCGGAGGTAATTCGAATAGAACGTACGTACGTTATCTTCGGGTTAAGAAGGTAGCTCTTTGATTTCATTCATTTAGTTCCATCATCTGGGTTTTAACAGTTCATGGGTGTACCAACTGAGCAAGGCTCGTTGGTGATTCCCCTGTAGCTCAATGTAAATGATAAATGATCCAGTGGCGACGACGCGACGCATAGTCCTTTCGGAATTGGCAAACCTGAGTATCCCCTGCAACCAGTGATCTGCCACAGATCAGCACTCGTACTCTTTTCCTTTTCCCATTCTTTTAGCGAATGCTCCCCCTCCCCCCTCCCCCCTCCCCAAACTCTGAACAACATACTGACCTGAAGTGGATGACCGATCTTTTGGACATAGCAGTTGAGCGCGTCCTTGAAATGTGGGGTCCGTCAGGTCCTTTTACCATCGTGAGACAATGAAAGGTAATTTGCCTCCAGATCAATGCCCCAGGGGTAGTAGGGGTTTGAGTTTTATGAGAGTCTTAGAAGTTGAGAGGACTCAAGTAGTTACATGGGCAATCCTGTTGTTTTCCTTTGAAACAAGGGTAGTTTTTCAGTAAAACTCCGGGGACCAGGTCCACCGTCCCTTACTATAATTATGCACCATACGCTTCCCTTTGTTATGGCCAAGGGACCTCTAGGCTCTAGCAGCATTGATCACTGCCTTTTACCGGAAGGATGTACCACCCCTCAATTCTGCCCGAAGGAAATATCAAGCCAATCAAAAGTGAAAACTAGTGTTCCACTCACCTCTTGTCCAGGACTCCGTGGATGCTCCCGTGCTGACCTGTCTTTTCCCTGCTCCTTATGACGTTGGCTTGTAATCGGAGGCATGCCTCGTCGAATGTCAATGTCAGAGTGGTAAGGATCTCTGCGGCTCACGTGCACATCAGTCAATGGCTTCCTACTTGGAGACATGTTACGTCGAATGTCAACGTCCGTGTAGGGAGGACTTGGAGGCATGCCATGTCCACTGTCAATGTCAGCGGGATCGCTGCTGTGCCCATGCACATCAGTTGATGACCTCCTTTTCTGAGGACTATACTTCCAAGCGTGGTCGTCAGAATCGACTGGGTCAATCTCCCTCTCCAGATCCCCTTCCTGTTTACTCCTCTCTTGAATGCTATGTCCACCTCTCTCCTCTTTGTCTAGCGCATGTTCAACACCCTTCTTCACACCGACCCCCCGTCTTCCCCTCCCTCTTTCAGCAATTTCGTGACCTTCATGACTTTGGCCAATAGCCCCCTTCACCTTATCTTTGCCCCATCTTTCTCTCTCCCCCCCTTCATCTTCCCTCTCCTTCCCCTCTCTTAACCCATTCCAGGGTTCCCTCTTTTCCTCTGCATTGTGCGGTCTCGCTCCACTAGCTCCCCAACGCCTTCCCCTCTCTCTTTCAGCACTTTCATGATCGTCATGACTTCTGTGAATATCTTCATCCCATCCCTCACTCTCCTCTCCGTCCTCTCCCCTTGTCTCCTTCCGCTCTCTTAACCCACTGCGGGACTCCCTTTCTTCCTCCGCATTGCTAGGTCCCAGTTCCCTGGTTCCCAATCTGTTCTCCCCTCCAGCTATGCTCTTTGGGTCTACTTTTCTTCTCTCTCCTTCCCACTCTTCTTTTTTCTCTCTCTTATCAGCATCACGGGATGCCACTTTATCCTCTTTGCTTACTACACCCCTACCACCCTTAAGGCTTCTCCCTGCGAATCCCATCTCATCGTCCCAAAATTCGTCGTCCTCCCACCCCCCTGAGCCCCCCTTGCCTACTCCCATCATGTTTCGTGAGTCCCTCCTCTTGTGTTCTGCTGCTCTCTCCTCCCTTTCCATACCTTTTGCCACCTCTCCCTTCCCTTGTTTCCTTCTTTCCCATGCATCCTTCTCGCGACCATCCTCTGTGATTTCCCCATCCCATCGTCCTTCTCTTTCCTCTCTGTCTTTTTCTCCTTCCGCCTCCCACTCTGCTGTCTCCTTTATCGCTCTTTCTCCTTGCTTATCAAGTTCTTTTCTTTCCCTCTTCCTTGCATCTCTCTCTTCAATTGTAATTCTTCCGTCCCGCTCTTTTCCGTACCTGTCCTTCACTTCTCCATCCTGCCATCTCGTTTTTGTTCTGCCCTCCCATTCTCTTCTCCCCATCTCTTCCACTTCCTTTTCTACAGGTGCTGTGTCAAACCACTTACCTTCAGCATGTTTATGTCGATATTGTTTCTCCTCTCTGCCTCTCCTAATGTCTTCACTATCACTTGCCTTTCCTTCCTTCCTCCATTGATCCTTACTGTCTTCCTCCTCTGCATTTCCCCAATCCTCCTCCTCTACTCTTTCTTTATCCTCCACCCAATGTTTCCTCTCCCTCGCAATTGTGTCCCTCTCACCTGGTGATATAGTTTCAATCCTCCGGAGCTCACGTTCAACATCCTTTTGCTGATATTGTTTCTCCCCTTTCTTTGTCCTAGCGTCTTTAGCCTTGTCTTCGTTTCTACGTGTCCTCTCCTCTATGACCCTCTCAGGTTGCTTTTCTTCCTCGGAAACATCGGTCTCTCCTCCCTTTTTCTCCCTCTTAGGGTTCTGCACTTTTTTCTCCCGATACTTCACTTCCAACTTCCATGGTGTAGAGGGACTTATTTCATCTTCTTCATCTTTGTGTTGATACTTCTCTCCCCTCTCTTTCCCCGTTTGCTTACTGCTATCCTCCTCCTCCTCTTTTCTCTTTATCTCCGCTATCTCCCTCTCCTGTTCCTTTTCGACTTCCAAATCTTTTCTCCATCGCTTTTCTTCCACTTCCTCGTCCTCCCACTCTTTTCTCTCCATCTCCTTGGCTTTCCCTTCCAGTTTTCTATAGTCATGTCTATCTTCCTCTACATCTTTTTGTTGGTAGGTCTTTTTTCCTCTCTCCCTCTCCGTATATTTACTTTTTTCCTCCTTGAAGTCCTTTCCTTCCTCCGTCTTTCTCTTCTCTCTGTCTCTCTCCTGTTCCCATTTAGTCTCCAAATCACCTCTCACTCCCTTTTCCTTCAGTCTCTCCTCCTCCAATTTTTTTCTCTCCGTTTCCCTCATGTCCTTCTCCTGTACTCCACTATCGCCTTCCATACCCTTGTCTTGGAACCGCTTTCTCTCTCTCCCCTCTGGCCGATTCCTCTCTTCCCTCTTTGTCCCTTCCCTCTCTTCTTTCCGCCCACGCTCCCATTCGCTTTCCTCCTCCTCTCTATCTGATTCTTTGGTCCAACTGACTTTTCTGTTTGCCCTCCACTCATTCTCCCTCTCTTCCTTCATTTCTTCCCCCTCCCACCCTTTGCTCTCCCTCCTTTCCCTCTCCCTGCTTTCATCCTCTCTTCCTCCCCAGTCGCTATCTCCCCTCTTCCTTCCTTCCTTCTTTCCTCCCGTCTCCCCTCTTTCCCTCTCCCTCCCTTCCTCCTCCCTCCCTCCCCTCACCCTCTCTCCTTTCTCTTTCCTTTCCTTGGGCTTTCCTTCCACCTCCCTTGCTTCCATTTCCCATCCTTCCCTATCCTTTCCGTCGCTCCCCCGTCCTCCCCTTTCCCTCGCTTCCTCTCTCCCTTCTTCCCCCCTCCTTCCCTTTCCGCTCCCATTGCTCTGCCTCCCTTCCTCCTTCCCTCCTCTCTCCCTCTCTTCCCTCCCCCCCTCCTCCTCCCTCCTTTCCCTTACTCTCTCTCCCTTCTTGTTTCCTTCTCCCTCCTTTCCTTCCCAGTCCCTTCCTTCCCTCTCCTTCTGCTCCTCCCCCTCTTCTTTACCCCGGCCTTCCTTTGGTCTCCTATCAATCCCCCTTTCTTCTTCCTTTCCACCCCGCCTACCACCTTCCCTCACCCTCTCTTCCTCCTCCCTTCCTCCCCTCACCCTCTCTCCTCTCTCCTTCCCTTCCCTCTCCCATGTTTCTCTCTCCCTTCCTTCATGTTCTCTCCCTTCCCTCTCTTTCATATCTCCCTTCCATCCCTCCTTTTCCCTGTCCTCCCTCTTTCTCTCCTCCCTCTTTTTCACGTCCCTTTCTCTCCCTTCCTCTCGCCCCTGCCTCTCTCTCCCTTCCTTTTCTCTTCCTTGTCTCTCCCTGTCTTGTCTCGTCCTTCCTTCTCTCTCCCTGTCTTCTTTCGTCCGCCCCTCTCTCTCCTTTCGTTCCTGCACTCCCCCTTCTCTCCCATCCTTTCTGGCATTTCCGTCATTTTTGCCACGGTGTTGTCCCTGATCTCTGTCTCTTCCAAATTCAGTCTCGTGGTCCGACTTTCTCTCCTTGATCTTCCTCTCCTCTCTCTCCCATTCTTTTCGGTCCTCCCCAACCTCCCTCTCCTTTTTTGCCCTTGTGCTTCCCTTCTCCCAATCTTTTGTCTCCCTCTGCCGAGTTTCCTGCTCTCTTTCCCGATTCCGCTGCTGCTCCTCCTCATCTGCTTCCCATTTTATACCTTTCTCTTTCCTCACGTGCACATCCACACCCTCCTCTGTCCTCTCTCTCCCCCTCAACCGTTCCCCTGCTCCTCCCCCTGCTGATTCCCTGTCCGGGCCATCCTGCTCTGCATACCTTGCACCATCTCTTTTCACAGTTTCCTTGACACCTCCTCCACCCCCCCTGAGAGAAGACCTCTCTCGCTCCCTCTCTCTTGCCCTCTCCTTTTCCTTTCTCTCCCTCTCGGCCCTCTCTTCTCTCAAAGTCTCCATCTCCTTCTGCCTCTGTCTATCCCTTTCTTTGGCTCTGGCCCTCTCCATTTCCCTCTCCTTTTCCAGGGCTCTCAGCAGCTTCTCATTCTCCAGCTTTTCTCTTTCCCACTCTCTCTCTATTCTCTTTAGTTGTTCTCGATGCATATATTGTTCCTTCTCCAATTCTCTTCTCTCTTTCTCCCATTCTCTTTCCATTCTTTCCAGCCTTTCCTTTTCTCCATATATTATCATCGTCTCCCTCTCTCTCTGTCGCTCCCTCTCTCTCTCCTTTTCCCTCTGGCGTTCTTGATCTCTCCACTCTCTTTCGGCTTCCATTCGATCTCTCATCTGCTGCTCCCTTTCTCTCCATAATTCTCTTTCCCTCTGTATCCTCTCCCTCTGCGCTCGGTCTCTCTCCCTCCATAACGCCTCATCCTTCTCCCTCTCCATTTGCCACTCTCTTTCCATCTCTCTTTGTCTTTCTCTCTCCCACTCCCCTATTTCTCTGTCGCGTCTCTCAGCCTCCCTGTCGTCATCATCAGCATCTGTTACTCTGTCAAACTCATCCTCCTCATCCTCTTGATCTCTTTGCATTCCACCACCATCGCCTCTCACACCCTGCCGTTGGCCTACATCTCTGCCCCGTTCTCTGTCCCATTCTCTCGCCATCTGGTCTTCCATGTCTCTCTGCCTCCCCCTTTCCTTTCTTGTTTCCCTTCCCAGATCATCCCACTCAACTAGTACCTGTCTTCCTCCATCCTCTGCAGCTCTCCCTACATCCCAACCTGTTTCCTCTCTCCTGTCCCTCTTAGACTCCTTAACCCCTCTCTGAGGATCCCTAAAACTCCCTCTTTTCCCCTCTGGAGAGAAATCTCGTTGATCTGAGGGAGCTGCGAAATTCTTGTGTGTCTCATCCATTTTCATCTCTCTTTGACCTTTACCAGCACCTGACATGCTCATCCTCCTCTGTTGGGTGGAATCCCTTCCTGCTTCATCCTTCCATCTTTGCTTCTCAATCTGGACCTGCTCCTGATCACTTGTTTCTTGCTCTCGTCGTTTCCTTTTCTCTCTGTCCTCTCTCTGCCCCACTGTATCAGCCTTTCTTTTCTCCCGCCTTACAGTCGTCGCTGGATCATCTGCATCGGAAGACTGGTCATCTCTGGGTGTCCATGCATGTGTGGAAGGATTCTCCGTAAATGGAGTTTGAACCACCCCCGTACCAGCTAAGGGACCGCCCCGCCTTCCCTTACCTATGTTACCCCTCATGGCGTCCTCTTCAGTTGCCTCCATCACACGCTCCAGTGCTAGACGTGGTGGAGAGATTCTCTGTTGACCTGTTCCAGTTACACTTCTTCCCTGGGCCCGTGCAACTGGAGATTGCGACGGAGATGTTGTTCCTGGGGTATGGGAACGATAGGATCGGAATGGCGACCTGGACGGTGAATAAGAACGTGGGGAACGGGATCTGGACCTCGCTCCCCTTAGCTCGGACATATGCTCCGGCTGACCAAAGGATGGAGCATTAGAATTGGCTTTGTCAAGCAAGCTTCGGACTGAAGAAAAGTCGAATTCTGGCTTGTGTTGCTTCTGCATAGCCACCAGCATCTTCTGAAGATCGCTGATTTGACTCCTTAGCCCAGCATTCTCTGCCACAGCCATTTCCGAAATCCTCCTCTGCAAAAACGGACAGGCAGAGAGAACCGCACAGCAAATAGAAGAAAAGGCACGGAGGGACGATCCATCAAAAGCAGCACAAGCAGCCTGCAGAACAACAAACGTTGTGTTTGACATATGCTACGAAGGCAGTCTGTGTGTAGAAATTGTTTTAGAAGGCATCCCCCCCACCACAAAGAAACATGCAATGAAGTCCTGTGAGACATATGCCGCAGCACCGGTCCTGCGCACAATAGAAGGCCTGTGATAATGTCGCGTCCAAGTTTGCTACCGTCTTCCCCCGAATAGAACGTACAGTCATCATTGCGGTATCTAGACTGCAAGTTTTCCCACATACAGCTATAATAGTATACTGACCATACGATGTATTCAGGGGAAGACGGTCGTATACTCGTTAGTTGACTCGTTAGTTTACTTTTCCCACAACAGAATATCCATGACTTGAACAGTTCCCAAAGTAACAGGGAGGATTTTGTGACTCTGTCGAAGGAAGACAATGTGCATGGCTCTGTCCCACAGAGGCACTGCGCATGGCTCTGGCCAAAACACGGGCTGCAGTTCTCTGCATGTGGCCCTATTTACAGAAACCAATATACGACCACAGCCGCGTAGCCGAGTGTTCCACACATACACCTGTTGATAAACAGATCACCAGTTCAAATCCTGCTGGATTCGATAACGTTAGGGGGATGTGTCCTTTTGGGGGGGGGAGGGGAAAGGAGGCAATGTGCGGCTGCAGGTCATTGTTACCCTCCACGTGTATCTCATCCAGTCAAGCAGACAACAATGGAAAGAAAGTGTTGTAGGCCATTGTTACTCAGAAACTTCTTTATCCTGGGTAGGTTGAGGGGGACGATCAGGGGGTACAAAGGAAACCCAAGATGCCTCAGTGATGGGGAAAAAGAGAAAAAAGAGAGTCTTTCACTGACGGAGACAAGAAAATCAAGCACCAAAGAGGAAGAGAAAGGTAAGGTAGACGAGGAATGGTGAGAACATGATTGGGAAGCGGTCATTAAAGCTACATCCAAAATTTTAGAGAGAGAGAGAGAGAGAGAGAGAGAGAGAGAGAGAGAGAGAGAGAGAGAGAGAGAGAGAGAGTTTAAACATCACATGGCCTACATCAGGGAGTAGGAGAGGATGAGAAGAACAGGGGAGGGGTAAGTACTGTCCAGATGATGCGTTTTTTTCAGCAAATCCTGAGGAGGTGTTGAGTAGCGAGGAAGAACTGTCTGCATACTATGCACAGCAGTATTGCAACATCAAGAAAGAGAGAGAATATAAATTTGTAATTTTGTACTTGACTGCATTACTTGGCGGGAAAATTGCAGTGAAGGAGCTATAGGAGGGAACCAGGGGTGGGTAGAGGTAGTACATACAAAATCCCAGCTCTTCCTGAACTGTACAACAAGAAGAAAGAAGTGACAGGAAAGAAAATAGGGACAGGCAATTTCAAGAAAAGCTCCTGTGCATCCAAAAGAAGTCTCCTGTTAATCTACAGAATCCAGATGACCCTCAATGTTACAACCAAAGCTGCTGACATTCCATGGTCACAAATATCCAGTTTCTACCTCTAGCTCAATACAAGTTGCCACATAGCCCTACTGTCCTCCCCCAAACACAATGCACCCTGATAATGAATGTATACAAGCTATCTTTCCTGTGTGATACAGCCATAATGAGTGTGCATTTTGTTCGGGGGAAGACGGTAATTGGTAGAACTTCCGGGGGGAGGGGCGGGACAAAAAATCAGTCTCCAGACTCTCAAAACAAAATCACAGAAATTTCAGTTCCGTTCTGAGATTCTTTGGCAACATTTCTGCACATTTCAAAAAATCAGTCTCCAGACTCTCAAAACAAAATCACAGAAATTTCAGTTCCCTTCCGGGGGGGAGGGGAGGGTCATCAATCATAGTGCAAAGTTGCAAACGGAATAAACCTGCCGAACAATCTCCTTCTGTGTCTCTTCTTTCAGCTTCTGTAAGTTGGGATCTCTCGCAGGCAACGCTCGCCGAATCTGTTACTTTCAGCAGTCATTTACAATGAACAGCACAAAACAAGGACACACTTAGCACCAAGTGCACCTCTGGATGATGTTTTATGAATGCCTGCAGGAAAGCAATTGAACATAAAGTTATAAACACCATCCGATACAGCGCCAGTACCGGTAGTGTAGGCATAACGGAGTGCGCAACGGCCTTCCTGATATTAAACTGATCAGAACAGATACATAGCACAGTCACACACTTTCGGGCCAACCCCGCACAACTGAATGCGGGCCACTCGTGGCCCAGTTCTTGAGAACAAGGTTTAGCAAACCCTTGCTAGCAATATACCCCCAGTTGTTGACAAAAGCAAAAGAGCCGCAGTCGAAAACCCTTGAAGACCGTACTCCAGCCTTCTCAAAATCATGTTCATTGTTCAACATAAAGCCAGGTACCTCTTGAGCTGCCTTTGCCCTCTGATCATCACGACATTTGTTGTCAGTGCATGATCTGCACTGCTATGCTCTCCATGACAACCCAATGCAAACAAACGAATGCCTAAGGCTCGAGCAACTTCTCGCCATATCGGCCCAGGAATCTAGATGCTCTCTGAACCCATGGGCTCTGGCTACAGACTTGAGAACAGGGCTCTGCCTCTGGGATGGCAGTCAAGCTTGCCTACCACACGATACCTTATATGGTATGAGAGAGAGAGACAGACAGACACACAGACACACACACAAAACTGTTTCATTGTTGGATTGTCACAACTCAAGGGCCTTCGTTGTCCGCAATAGGATTAAAGATGCTTCGGTTTTAGATATACTCATCTGGGTGGAATAAGGGCTGTTGTGGTAAAAATTCACACACACACACACACGCACAGAGTGAAAGTCCAGCAAAACAGTCTGGCACAGTCATGCTTTTCTTTGTGGCATTGTGTATAGCGAATATGACAACACACAACACAGCCTTGCTAAACTCTCTGTGCAGGTGGATAGATGCGGCTAGGGTTGGGACCGTACTAGCCGTTGTGCCCTTGGATGCCCATGGCTCAGTGAGTGTGTAGAGTGGGTTTTATGACTGTGCAGCCTGTGCCAGATTAGTTTCTCAGTCTTATTGTCATTCTTGTCAGAGGTTTGGACCGACAATCTGCTAGGATTGCAGGGTTGGTGTGAGTAAAGTCGATCATTTTTCTCAGGGGTATCACTAACTTTGGGTGGCGTGGTGAGTCCTTATCCATCAGTGAAATCCATCCTGGGCAGACTGTCACGGTTCAAACTCCAGACGAGTCGGGGAAAGTTCTACGAAACACTCGGGGAAAGTTCTACGAAACACTCTGACACAGACATGCTTTTCTTTGTGGAGTTGGGTATAGTGAATATTGACCACACACGCGCACGCACGCACACACACACACACACACACACACACACACACACACACACACACACACACACACACACACACACACACACACACACAGACACAGCGAATATGACCACACACACACACACACACACACACACACACACAC